AGTGCTGAATTGCATAACTACCCCCAGTTCCAGTGCTGAATTGCATAACTACCCCCAGTTCATGCGAGGCTGAATTGCATGCATACCTACCCCCAGGTCATGGAAGTCTGAACTGCATAACTGCCCCCAGTTGAGGTGGCAGAATCGCATAAGTACCCCCAGTTTTCATGTGGCTGAATTGCATAACTACCCTCAGGTCATGTGAAGCTGACTTCCACGCACTGAATAGAGACAAGTTCGAAATTCCGACAGTACACACATTTAACTTTGTTTCTTTTTCATCTGCTTTCCAGCGGAGTTTGAACTCGAGTCTGTATTTCAACATTTCAGGGGTGTACCAACTAAGCTTAGGCCAATTGGTACATTTAACTCTGTCAGTAACTGAACAACAAACAAAACAGTCAGTAAGCACAGAACAGATCATGGGGCTACCTACCTACTTAAAACCCCCGCCCCCCTACCCCCCCCAGAAAACCATCATTTGCTCCGTTGTATTCCATGGATTAGGTAGTAGATCCCCTGAAACAATTAACTATCCATTGAAGTGATTGAATTGGACATCATTGTTTTTTTTTTCTGTTTTTCAAAATAATTTGCACCATTTCTCGACTTATGCGTGCCATCCTTGCACAGGGTGGAAGTCCCACTAGCAAAGAGGATTGGATTAAGCTCCTGAATCTGGATGTGGTTTATGCAGAGATGGAGAAAAGCAGTTCAATCTCGATTTCCTGCACCTCTCCACCAACACGTCCCGATTCAGGCATTCAATCCGATCCTCTTTGCTCGTGGTACTGCGGCCCAGGGGCCGTTATGTATGCTTATTAGTCTTCTCTGTATCATTCCATTTCCTCTTTTTTTTCTTTTTTGTTTTCGTCCCAATTTTATCAGATGTCCCGAAGGCCCTTTTTTTTTTTTTTTTTTTTTTTTTTTTTTTGGCCCGAAGGGCGGATGAAACATCAATGGAATTGCACTTATCTTCACAAAAACGCAACCCCCCCCCCAACCTGTGATCAGCAGCGGCTGTACTAGCCAAAAACATGTGCAGGCCTTCTCTCCAGTGCGTTGCTGCCTCCCCACCGTTGATCCGCTGCCATCTGTTTTTCAGTTGATCACACGCCTGAAGACAAGGAGGGTGGTGGTCCAACTCTTTCCTCGTTCTCGTTCTTGTACACGTCTGCCTCCTTGGGGGAGCAAACACATGCGACCCATAAACTGCTGTGGCTATATATGGAAGTGTTGCTCCCGAAGCCATGCCTTTTACGTATGAGGGCTAAGCGGCAGCAGAGACCACCCCCCACCAGACCCCACCACCAGGACTCCCACCGCCGACCAAATTACGATCCTGCCCCGTGCACACCTTTGCAAATTGCAATCCTGCCCCGGTCACCCTGCAAATTCCAACCCTGCCCCCGCACACCCTGCAAATTACAAATTTGCATTCTGCATATGTGTTTGTCAAGCCGGATTTCAGATGACAATGATTATGATCATTATGATGACGATGAGGAGGAGGAGGAGGAGGGAGTCTAAAACCAGTCAGCTGTTGCTCTTCTTTTCAATTGAAAACAAAAGAAAAGGACAAAGAATTTGAAAGAACTGTAATGACCCGTCAAAACACAGACTGAGAACACTGCTGATTTCTGAAGTTCTGCCGATGGAATGGATGCCTTGTGGAGATTCCAGAATTCTGCTGTGTTTTCTAAGTCTGTCTGTGTGTGCGTGCTTGTGACCTGCATGCCTGTCTGAGTGCTTGTCGGTATGAGTGTGTGTGACCCGCAAGGGTACTTGCTTGTTTGGTAGGCCCGCAGGGCCGGTACTTACCTGTGGCC